AGAGACAGGGTCTCACTTTGTTGCCCAGGCTGGAGTCCAGTGGCATGATCATACCTCACTGTAACTCTGAACTCGGGGCTCCAATGATCCTCCTGCCTTAGCCTCCTGAGTACCTGGGACTACAGGCACCCACAGCACAACCAGCCTTTAGTTCACATTTATCAGTGCATTTCTTGGTGCATCATGAAATTAGCTCCTCAACCTGAGAAAGTGCTTAGGATGTTAAAAGATAAATAAAAGACCCCAAATACAACTTCAATAAGCAAATGAGTGTAACATAATCTAATAATTTCCTTGCTTTGTACATTAAGACTGTCTGATTTTTCAAATCATGCAGCAGGGCACATCCCCACAGTGTTGGGTCCTCGAAGGGTTCCTCAGATCTGAGTTCCTACAGCGAAATCTTGTGCAACTGTCCTATTCAACTTGTCCCCACACAAGTGGGGTGCCCATTTTATTTCATCCTCTCCACACTGAATGTCCTTTTTTCTCTCAAATCTTTGCCAACAAAAGTAAAGGGGAGAACTGGGTCAGGTTGAGCTCTTCCACTGTGCCCAGCTGTTCACATCCCTGAAATCCTGCCCTGTCCTGTGTCTTATTGTTTCTTTCACTTCAAGCCACTAACAGTCTGTCCCTATTTTTTCTAATAAACCTGAAACATTCTTCCTTTGTCTCCATCAAGAAAGAAAGAACTATATGAATATGGGGAGGGGGGAGGACGGATGGTGGGAGGGTGATTGGTGGGACCGCGCCTATGGTCCATCTTACAGGGGTACATGTGAATCTTTCTAAATGCAGAATATAGATGTCTTCACACAACAACTAAGAAAATGCCACGAAGGCTATGTTGACCAGTTTGGTAAAAATATTTCAAATTGTATATAAAACCAGCACACTGCACCCCATGACTGCATTAATGTACACAGCTATGATTTAATTAAAAAAATAATAATAAATAAAAAAAGAAAGAACTATATGTAGTACCTTAGAACCTTCTGGACATATCCTCCTACCCCTTCCCAGCATGTGAGTTTCTGCTGAGCAGTTGGTCAGGGTACAGTAAGAACTCTAGGCCCTCAGGCCTCTCCTTGTGCAACATTTCCATTTTGACCCCCTTGTGCATTGCGCTGGAAGGGTAAACAGTGTGTCTGACCTTCAGTGGCCTTTCACACCCCTCAGTTAATCTCCGAACAAACCTTTTTGGCAACTTTACCTGAGCACCCTGCATTCAAGCACTTGCCATTTCCCACCTGCACTCTCGGTAAGAAAGGTTAGTGAATATAGTGTCTTTATAGTTTTTGCTCATCTAACACCACCAGCTTGATCCAGCTAAGGGATTCCTTATAACTAAGCACTGGCAACATTTTCTTAGGGGATAAAGGTGTTTTCAACGGAACAGAACAACCTTTTTTTGTATTTCAGTTATGCCCTCTAATGTTCCTCAGTATTTCATATTGGAAAGTGGACAATTCTGTGCCTGCCAGGGAATAAGAAACCTGGGAACTGTTTAGTTCAAAAGCATCAGAAAAATGAATGGCTGACAGCCAGCAACCAAGGTCATCTTGCCCCGGGAACATATTAGAAGAATGTAGAATACTGTACGCATACTGGGTGTAGGCACCCCAGGAGATACTGTCTAATGACCATAAGGTGATTATCAGGTTCTTCCTGAATTCCTAAAAATAAAAGGGGACGGGACAAAAATAACAGCATTCAGAGAAAGAGAACGCACACAAGCTAGTTACTCAAAACAATGTGTTGTGTAAAGGCTTTCAAATAACTGTGACAGTTTAAAAAATTGGCCCATCATGCTGACCTGGTAGAAGACTGAGGAACACGCCCATGAGAACTTACACCACATCTCAAACTCATGGCTGGGACAGGTGCTTGGGTTGCTTTGCGAGAAAGGAATGTGCAACATACTCTCCACACTGTGTTTGAGTCCCTGAGGGATTTCTTGGAAAATTAATAGTAATTTTCAATATAATGGAACAATATTTTTTAGTTATTCTCCATAAGTGTCTGTTGGAATTACAAACTTCTAAAGAGTTAAGAGTTAATAAGCTCCATGTTATCAAGTAGGCCAAAGAGATTATGGTCTCAAGATCTTGTAAGGGAGTTTCTAAATATGGGGAAACTAATTGTCCTATTAACCCACAAAACTCTGCTAAACCAAGGACAAGTAATATGGCGCCTCACCTTGCATCCTGCAGACAAGGGGAGAGTGCGATCATGATGGAGCAGTCCTTGGCAGTCATGGCCACTCTGTACTGCTGCACCTGCAGGAAGAGGTCAGCTCCAGTCACGTAGGAAGCAACGGCACCAAAACAGCTTTCCCACCCACCAGGTACAAGAACTGGCTCCTGTGACAAAAGTGTGGGTGACAGGCCAAGCACTGTGACTCATGCCTGTAATCCTAACACTGTGGGAGGCCAATGTGGGTAGATGGCCTGAGCTCATGGGTTCAAGGTCAGACTAAGCCAGAGTAAGACCCCATCACTAAAAATAGCTGAGCATTGTGGCAGGCGCCTATAGTCCCAGCTAATTCAGGAGGCTGAGGCAAGAGAATTACTTGAGCCCAAGAGTTTGAGGTTACTGTGAGCTATGATGCTACAGCACTCTACCAAGGGCAACAAAGTGAAACTCTGTCTCAAAAAAATAAAATAAAAATAAAAAAGAAGAAGAAGTATGGGGACACTAAACAAGGTAATCAGGAGGTCCCCACTATGAAAGCACCTGAGCCAGCTGCCAGCCAAAGGGCTACTCAGGTGTCGGCCTAGCCCTCTGACCTCTCACTGCAAGCACCCTAATTCCAGACCCTGAAACTTATGACTTGTCTTCAGGAAAGCAATCACAGTCTGCCTTTGGAAGGAAATGCAGTCAGCTGTCTCAGCTGCAGTATGTTGGCCACACTAATGGTACTGAGCAAGCATCACCTGACACTTCTGAAAAGACAGGCGCACAGGGTGTTCAGCTAAGTGTTGCTTAGAAAACATTCTGCACACCAGAATGTCACACCATCTACAGACTGTATGTGTGTTAACTCACTTCATCGTCACAATAGCCTGGCAGTGTCCTACTTTACAGATAAAGAGACAGACACAGAGAATAACCTGTCCCCATACCCTGCTAGTTGATGGCAGGGCTGGGACTCAAGGGAGTGCTTTGGCTCTGAAGTCTGTGCCCTCCATCAAGTGCTCCTGGCTTACAGCCTGACCTGGAGCAACAGCTGGCAGGGCCACCAACTCAACACATGCCATGCTTTCAAGGACCCAACTCACATAAAGCCGTGCTTGTGCTCATGTGTGTATTAGACAGGTAGGGTGCAATCCAAACGGACAGTCACCAAAATGTTCACAATCATCACCTCCACAGAGCAAAATTTGAGGCATTTTTCCCCTTTTCTGTTTTGGACTTTCATATATTGTTTGAATTTTTTTAAGATTGAATAGCTCTGACTTTTATAAAAGTGCACCAGTTACAAAAAAGGAAGATCTTAATACATTATTAGTGGCCTCAACATTCATATTGATGACAGACCATAATCTCTGTCTCCCTTTCATCCATTCCCCTTGATTTCACACAACTGGCAGGATCTACCCTTAGAAAACACATAAGCAGTACCTTCCCAAAGAGACCTAGACAGGAAGGAGTAGGGAGGACCCCAAAGCACAGATTTACCCCAGTCCTATGGACTATTCTAGGGCCTGTGCCTTTTACAGTAGGAGGAAACACATAGCTCCTATCATTTTACACACTATCCATTTAGCTAAGAAATCAATTATTTCACATTACAACATACAAAAAAAAAGTCCAAAAGAATTAAAGAACTAAATACAGAAAGAAGTATAAAATATTTATTAAATCCTTAATGCACTACAAACACTTCTGACCAAGATACAAAACCCAGAAGCCATAAAAGACTCAGATTTGAAAACCTAAAAATTAAACAGTTTAATCTGGGTATAGTGGCATGTGCTATAGTCCCAGCTACTTAGGAGGCTGAAGGGGGAGGATCATTTGAGCCCAGGAGCTCAAGTGTAGCCTAGGCAATACAGCAAGGAACAATCTCTAAAAATAAAAAATAAAAACCTTTTATATGATGCAGTCATAATTCAATGATATAAGACAAATGAAAGACTGAGAGTAAATGTTTGCAACATACATAACAGACATAATATCTGTAATCTTAGCACGCTGAGGCAGGTGGATTGCTTGAGCTCAAGAGTTTGAGACCAGCCTGGGCAAGAATGAGACCCCCATCTCTACTAAAAATAGAAAAACTAGCTGGGCTTAGTGGCACATGCCTGTAGTCCCAGCTATTCAGGAGGCTGAGGCAACAGGATTGCTCAAACACAAGCGTCTGAGGTTGCCATGAGCCATAGTGATGCCATAGCACTCTACCCAGGGCAACAGAGTGAGATTCTGTCCCAAAAAAAAAAAAGATATATATAGTGCTAGAAATCAATATTGAAAAAAAAACTCCCCAAAAGAAGACAAAATAAACTGTCAAAAGAAAAAAGATATGTACAAGAAAAGATGATCAATCTCACTATAAATCAAAGAAATGCAAACAATAAAATATTTTCCACTCATGGGCAAACTGTACACATACACACAGAGTCAGCCCTCCATAGTGATGAATGCCAGATGCACAATACACAGATATAGAAGCTAACTGCATTGCAGATTGTAGACAGGGCATCCTGAAACCAATCCCCCAAGGATACCTACTGATGGACAGCTGCACGCATGTGTACATCTCAGACACAAAAGGAAGGGACTAGACACTTTAACATAGGAAAAAGTAACTGGGGCCAACCCAGGTGCTGAGGCCAACTAAAAAAGGTGGACAAAATATCTGCTCAGAGGCAGAAATAACAAGGAAGAATTGCTAGAACCAAAGAAGACAAAGGCACTGGGCTTGCTTTTCTAAGGCAGAGATATGACACTTCTGGAGGATGGAGCAAAGGGTACTTTTATCAAAATCCCAGGGGTAAAAGATTATACTTTCAGGGATCATTTCTATAGTTCGTTACTAGAGAAGTCTCTCTGAATGTGTAGAGCACCGGAAACCACAAGGAGGTGCAGCGTTCTCTCCTGAGCATGAAGCCAGCTCTTGGTGTTGCTTTACTGCAATTGCCAGTTACATCAAAATTGCCAATGATGATCATTCTTCTCTCCCTTTGGGGGAGTAAGAAGGGAAGAACACAGTCTTAAAAAAAAAAAAAAAAAAACTCTAGGGCTACAGGGACGGTAACTGATGAACCCTTCTTGGGTTAGAACCCAAACACTGCACTTTTTAAGATTAAAAGTGAGCTACAGTTGACAGCCCCTACCAGGAACTGCTCTTTACTTCAAAGAGATCAATCATCAAAACTAGATTAAAATCACTCCAGTTGCTAGTTTTTTCCAGGCCTCTGAAGCAAACCTAAAACTCTCCCTGGAAGAAGATATGATCTGAGGCCTCAAGTGATTTCTAAAATAGTTGTGCATATATAATTTCTGGCACACAAGCAAAATTATGCAGACACAACAAACATAAATGAAAACCACCAAAAATAAGCCAATCAACCAATATGGGAGAGAGGTATATGGTAATCTCTATTACCTTCAACTCAGTTTCACTGAGAACCTAAAATTGTTCAAAAATATAAATACTATTTTTAAAAAATGCAACTGAAGAAAGAAAAAGGGGCAGCACTTGTGGCTCAAAGGAGTAGGGAACCAACCCCATATGCCAGAGGTGGCGGGTTCAAACCCAGCCCCAGCCAAAAAACTGCAAAAAGAAAAAAGAAACACAATAGACAGTGGCGCACATATGGACTCCAGTTATTGGAGGTACTAGATGCATATGCTGCACTGTGTGAAAAATAAAAGAATAACACAGAACTTGAGAGAACTGGGAAACATAAAAATGAATCATGCAGAAACTCTAGAGCTAAAAAATACAAAAATTAACATTAAGAATTTCATAAGGCCAGGTGCAATGGCTCACAACTATAATGCCAGCACTTTGGGAGGCTGAGGTGGAAAGACAGCTTGAGGCTAGGAGTTTAACACCAGCCAAGGGCAACACAATGACACAGTACCTCCCAAAGGTACCACTTTCTAATACTATTACCTTGGGGGTTAGGATTTCAACATATGAAACAAATATTCAGACCATAGCAGAGAGAGGGAGAGAGAAAAAAATAACAAGTATCACACGTCAAGATTAAGAAAACAAAATCACATGTCAGACCTATAAAACATTAAATATAATATCACCAAGAAAAATGGTATCTCAAGTTTTTTTGTGTATTAGAAATTAACTAATCTGCACTTTTATTTATTTATTTTTTTAAGGCAGAATCTTGCTCTGTTATCTAGGCTAGAGTGCAGTGACATCAGTGTAGCTCACCATAACCTCAAACTCCTGGGCTCAAGCGATCCTCCTGCCTCTGCTCCCAAATTGCTGGGACTACAGGTATGTACCACTACACCCAGCTAATTTGTTGTTGTTATAGAGATAGGGTCTCAGTGTCATCCAGGCTGGTCTTGAACTCCTGGTCTTTAACAATCCTCCTGCCTCAGCCTCCCAGAGTGCCACGCCTAGCCTATATGCCAAAATTGTGAAAACATAGATAAAACAGGCAAATTTCTAGAAAAATACAACTTACAAAAATAGCAAGAGAAATAGAAAATCTGAAACTGAGTTCGTAATTTTAAAATGTCCTACAAAGACAACTATGGGCCCAGAAGCTTTCTTCTGTGATTCTATAAAACACTGAAGGAAGAAATAATACCAGTCTGAATCCACCTACCCAGAGAACAGAAAAAAAAGCAAACAAATTCAAATGTTTTGTAAGGCAGGCATATGCCTTGATGCCAAGATCTAATACAGACATTACAAAAAGGGATGGTATACCTCTTAATCACTCACAAGCATGCAAAAATGCCTTAAAAAATTTACAAACCCAGTATCATAACAACACATAAAGAGAATAACACATCACAATAAATTGTACAATTAAACACATAACAGAAAATTGAAAAAAGATCATGATTATCTCAATAGAAACAGAAAAGGCTGGGCAGCACCTGTGGCTCAGTGAGTAGGGCACCGGCCCCATATACTGAGGGTAGCGGGTTCAAACCCGACCCCAGCCAAACTGCAACCAAAAAATAGCTGGGCATTGTGGCAGGTGCCTATATTCTCTGCTACTAGGGAGGCTGAGGCAAGAGAACTGCCTAAACCCAAGAGCTGGAGGCTGCTGTGAGCTGTGATGCCACAGCACTCTACTGAGGGCGACAAAGTGAGACTCTGTCTCAAAAGAAAAGATACAGAAAAGGCATTGATAAAATGCAATATTCATTCTTAGAAAACCTCTTAAGTGGTTCAGCGCCTATAGCTCAAGCAGCTAGGGTACCAGTCACATATACTAGAACTGGCGGGTTCAAATCTAGCCAGGGCCTGTCAAAAGAACAATGACAACTACAACCAAAAAACAGCCGGGTGTTGTGGCGGGTGCCTATAGTTCCAGCTACTTGGGAGGCTGAGGCAAGAGCATCGCTTAAGCCTAAGAGTCTGAGGTTGCTGTGAGTTGTGATGCCACAGTACTCTACCAAGGGTGACAGCATGAGACTCTGTCTCAAAAAAAAAAACCTCTTAAGTCAGGAATAGAAAGAAACTTCTTTAATCTGATAACCATCATTTATTTTAAAAAAGCAAAACAAACCCTACACTAAACAATTTACTTAAGGATAAAATGCTTTCTCACTGAGATTTGGAGTAAGAGTTAAATTCCCACTATCAAAAATTAACTCTATAAAGTGAAGCAAAATACATAAAAGGTACAAGGATTAGAAAGGGAAAAAAGTCAAATTCAGATAATACAATTACCTACAAAGGAATCCAAAAGAAGTTGGAATAATAAGTTATTAATAAGTTAGAAAAGTTGCTGGATATAGGGCCAAAATAGAAAAATCAATTACATTCTTTTTTTTTTTTTTTTTTTTTTTTTTTGAGACGGAGCCTCAAGCTATCCCCCTGGGTAGAGTGCCATGGCGTCACGCTCACAGCAACCTCCATCTCCTGGGCTCAAGCGAGTCTCCTGCCTCTGCCTCCCAAGTAGCTGGGACTACAGGCGCCCACCACAACTCCTGGCCATTTTTTTTTTGGTTGCAGCCATCATTGTTGTTTGGCGGGCCCGGGCTGGGGATCCAAACCCGCCACCTTAGGTGTATGTGACTGGCGCCTTAGCTGCCTGACCCACAGGCGCCGAGCCAAAGCCAACACATTCTTAAAGACGTACTAAAGAATTTGCTCTACTAGATATCAAGACCTGCTATTAGGCAGGCACGGTGGCTCAGACCTATAATCCTACCATTCTGGGAAGCCAAGGCATGTGGATTGCTTGAGCTCAGGAGCTCAAGAGCAGCCTGAACAAGAACGAGACCCCATCTCTACTAAAAATAGAGAAATCAGCCAGGCATTGTGGCAGATATCTGTAGCCCCAGCTACTTGGGGGACTGATGCAAGAGAATTACTTGAGCCCAAGAGTTTGAGGTTGCTGTGAGCTATGATACGATGGCACTCACTCCCAGGGCGACTGAGTGAGACTATGTCTCAAAAAAAAAAAAACAAACCAAAAATCCTTGTTATGACTCTTTAATGTTCAGGACAATTCCTATGGCACAAGGACAATTCTACTCAAAAAGAAAATAAAACCTACCTCATACCATTCCAAAAATCAATTGTTGATGATTATCCACTAAGATGTGAAAGATAAAATAATAAGTTTCTAAAGACAGCACAGGAAAATAATGTCAGGAACTTGAGGTAAAGAAAGACTTCTCAAATAGGAAAAAGACTGGCAAATTATGCTGCTTAAAACTTACGAACTTCTCATCTTATTATTCTCCATTAATGAGAAGACAAGTTGCAAGGTCGAAGAGGAAATCTACAGCATGTATAACAAAGGACTTCTTTCCAGAATATATTAAGAGCTTCAAACCAGTAAGAAAAAGACAGCGCTATCAAAAGAAAAAAAAAAAAACTAGTCAAGGGACTTAAATTGTAACTTAACTATTTCACAAAAAAGGGAATCCAGTGAATGTAGATAAAGTGCTTAATTTTACTTCCACAACAAGGTGCCACTACACACTCACCAATTAAAAAGAATCACAACCAAGAGTTAGAGAAAGTGGAGCAGAAGTTACTCCAAACCTGTTGTAAGGAATGTAAACTGGTAAAACTGTTTTATCGTATCAACTAAAGCTAAATACACTCATCCCTCTGGCCCCCAAATTCCAACCCTAGGTACATATCCAAGAGAAATGTGTGTACATGTATAACAGAAGATCTGTATAAGGATGTTTACAGTAGCTTATAGCCCCAAACTGGGAACAACCTAAATGTCCATAAACAGAACAGATAAACTACAGTACAGTACAGTGAATTCTCACTTAAATTATAGATAGGTGGCTCGGCGCCTGTGGCTCAACTGGCTGAGAAGCTAGCCACATACACCTAAGGTGGCGGGTTCAAATCCAGCCTGGGCCCACCAAACAATGGCAGCTGCAACCAAAAAATAGCCGGGCGTTGTGGCGGGGACCTGTGGTCCCAGCTACTTGGGAGGCTGAGGCAGGAGACTCGTTTGAGCCCAGGAGTTGGAAGTTGCTGTGAGCTGTGATGCCACAGCACACTACCCAGAGGGGCAGCTTGAGGCTCTGTCTCCAAAAAAAAAAAAAAAAAAAAATTATAGATAGGTTACTGGAAACTGGGACTTTAAGTGAAATGATAGGTAACAAAACTTTATTTTTCTCATCATTATAACAAAATGACCTTGAACACAATGATGTTATCTGAGGACCTGCTGTGTAAGTTATTTCACTTAGAATCATGGTTTCCAAGAACCTATCAATGACATTAAGAGAAGACTTACTGTATATCCATTCATGGATCATTTCCACTGAAAATGTGGAAATGTGTGCTCTGGGAGGCCAAGGCAAGGCCTGAGCTAGAGCAAGACCACATCCCTAAAAATAAAAAAAACAGCTGGGTGTTGTGGCAGGCACCTATAGTCCTGGCTACTCAGGAGGCTGAGGCAAGAGGATCACTTGAGCCCATGAGTTTGAGGTTGCTGTGAGTTATGACACCATAGCACTCTACTGGGGGTGACAAAGGGAAACTGTCTCAAAGAAAAAAAAATTTAGGAATAAATTTAATAAAATA